GTGGTATAAAATGTGTTAAAGTTTATATACGGCATTGAAAGAATGGAGTGGAAGAGAAGGAAGGAGTGGAGGGTGAGAAGCAGGAGGTGTGAGAGGTCGGAGGGGGAGGTCAGGGAGACTGACACTTGAGTCTTCTCAGCTCAGCTCAGGGGTCGCGACGGGGCGACGCTTGGGTTGAGAAAATGATGTTTCTTCCCTCATAAAAGAGCTGCAGAGAAGAAAAGAGAGGGAAGCTCCCCCTCCCTCGTGCCCCCCCCCCCATCCCTCCATCTCTTCTTCCTCCTCCTCCTCTTTCTTCTCTCCCGCCTCAGTGTCACCTCTGGCCCACTCCAACCCCCCACGCCATGTTTCAAAGTGTGGCTACATGAATGGCTCTATTGTTAACGGCTGAGAAAAAGGGAAGGAGAGAGTGGACAGCAGAAGAGATGAGGGAGAGTGAGAGAGGATAGGAGAAAAAAAAAAACACTCAGAGACAGAGAGAGTGTTTCTCTCAGAGCAAAACGTGGCCAAAAAGAAAAGAGTAAAGGGAAAACGTAATGCTGCTCAGGGCTGTGTCTGAATGGAATGATTTATTTAGATGTGGTCACAGATGAACTCTATAAAATTGTTTATAAGTTCACCTCACTTCACTTTTCTCTCCTCTTGTCTCCACTGGAAGTGCATTTCACAGATTCACAAGGCTCGCAAACTGTCCTGCACTCATAGACTGAACTTTTTAAGGTAGATTTAAAACATCCAGTCACAGGAAAAACTGTATGTGAGTGATTTTATATCACCAGATTTGTTGACACTGAGGGCATCATAAAGAGGAGAGGGAAAGTGTGAGTTCTGAGATAAATACATACAATTTTTGTTCCTCTGTACATGATTAGATTGCGACATGGTCTTTCTACCCTAAAATCCTACAAACACAACCACACACATACACACAATATCATTCACTCACATACCAGGTTAACCAGGGTTAACTCAGCAAATCTGACACCCTGAACATGGAACCTATCAGAAAATTGAGGTCTCTTGCAGGAATGTGCTGGAATTCACTGTCAATTTCTGTCTTTTTTTTCTTTCTGTCTTTCCTTCATTCTTTTCTTTTCCTCCTCCTCTTGGTATATTTTAAGATACTTTACTTCTGTGAAGTGTTTCCCCTTTGTCTCTGTGTTTCCTTTCTGCTTGTTCACCACATTTCTTTGTTGTTGCTACATACCTTGCCTGACATGTTCAATATTTTTTTCCACTCCCCTCCCTCTCTCTCACTTCACTGATTTCTCCCTCTTTCTTTCTTTTTTTTTGAGCACTGCACCTGCCCGGTGGCATTTTACCTTAACACTCTTACCATCCTCTGTGTATGTGTGTGTGTGTGTGTGTGTGTTTGCTTTGCCATTCTGCAATGCAGCTCGACTGTGACTCAGGGTACCATCAGCTACCTCTCACTGAATGCGTCATGCAGGAAGCAAAAGGTGCTTGTTTTTAGAAGAGTGTGTGTGCGTGTGTCTGTGTGTGTGCGTGTGTGTGTGTGTGTGTGTGTGTGTGTGTGTGTGTGTGTGTGTGTGTGTGTCAGTGGCTTTCAGTGTTCATGTTTAGAGAAAACTAAACCTGTGTGTTTGCATGTGGGTGGATATGTTTGGGCAAACCTTTTGTGTTTAACAGGAGGGCATCTGTATGTGTGTGTGTGTGTGTGTGTGTGTGTGTGTGTGTGTGTGTGTGTTGAATAGATTTTTCTGTTTAGGCGTTGCTACAGAAGCCTCGGGAACCGCCACCATGTTTACAGTTCATACTCTATAAATGGTGTGAGTGCATGTGCTCGCCTGTCTGAGGTCGACAGGAATGTGAAATGTGTGTGCGAATGTGTGTGTGTGTACGTGTTGAGTGAAGCTGAGTGCCTACCTCTCCTGTCTAAGTTTTGCCTGATAACCCTGAGTGACCTGGGTAATGAGAAGTGGAACAGTGGCTTCCCTCAAGGCCTCTGGGCCCGCCTCAGCTAAAGCTCCTCTGCTGTTCAGTCTGCTTTACTCAAGTTCCCCTCCGGTGTACGCCGCCAGCCAAACACACCAACAGATAAAGCTTACATCTTAATTTGCAACAGGTGTAAGGCTGTTAGCTCGCAGTGCTAAGAGGTAGATGTAACCTGCATGGAAGGGGAGGATGTGGGTAGATGCAAACAGGCAAAACAGAGGAGACACACAAAATCCTTCTTTCTCTTCCTATAGAAGCTTGTCATTTATCATATCATTTTGCTTTTAGAAAACAAGTTCAGTGTTACAAGTACTAAAATTCAACTGGCTAACATCGCCCACCAAAACTTTGCTGCATGTAAGCCTGTTTTGTCTCATCTGAAATGCCACACTAACGGTGTAGCTCTGTGGATGAAAATGTCCGTCTGTCAGTCAGTCGTCCAGTACTTTGATTTATGACCAAATACCTGCAAACCTAATGACATTTAAGTTGATACTTGTTTTAGAGCTAACTAGTTAATGTTAGCATGCTAAGATGGTGAACATGGCAACAAACATGGTTAACATTAGTTTACCTGCTAAATCTCCGTGTGTTAGCATCATCGTTGTTAGCGTGTGAGCAAGAGAAAGTAACCCTGATGATGTCATCAGAGCTATTTCACCTTGGGCTTGCAGACCTAAATATTATAGTAATGGAAAGGCTGTTTAAAAACCGGGGGAGTGGAGTTTTACATAAGGGGACACTCAGCAAGCAGTTAGGGTCTAACAAAAAAACAAAGGTGCATGATGGGAAAAGTAGGATCTGGTATTTTTGGAGCTTGACCCACACTAGCGACTAAAAGTCAAGATATCTCAGCCTCTGTTGCATCTGTATCTCAACTTTATGGAAGTGCGATACATTTCTAGAGTACCCTTTTAATCTGCACACATTTAACTAATGAGACACATGGATAAAAAGAAAGTTAATGTTTACCAGATTAAATTCTTATAATAATGTAATTCTTGGCCCCTTTTGTTACTACCCAACATTATAAATAATAAATTGGCACGGATTTTGGTCAGCTTGTAGGGAAGGCCTGAAATGAAGTAATAGTATTTTTTATTGGACAAATGAAAGTGTAAATTGTTGCCAATGTGAGATTAGTAGGATTTATTTTGTCTTTTTGACAGTACAGTTATTCAACATGATTCTCAGTCTGTTCATGCTTCGTGATCCTGCATTGTTTATTTTTTAATGGTCAAACCGTTGTCTGACAGCAGAACAGAGAGAATAATTAAGCAGGTTTGAGTGCTGTGACTCCCAAGTGTTCGTGTGGATTTGTTGGAAGCAGAAGCAGCGTCTGAGTCAGAGGTAACAGAAAATGGGCTTCTTAATATTACAGGCATTTGCTTACTCCCACTTCCACATCAAATTGTCACTTAAAATTCTGTGAGAATGCTAACAGTAGAGAAAATCCAGCAAATCCCCTCCTCCCTTTTATCTTTTACTACTATAAACACGTTCCTTCTTTCTGTCCGTAGTGACATTTATTTTAACCTGAAGTGAGGGCACTACGCGTATGTGCAAAGACTTACTTTCTGTTTTATCCACTGTTGGCCAAGCATGCTAGCATGGTGCGTTAAAGTCATCATAGGCCTCCGGAGCTAAGTTGATAACTCATAGTATTTGGCCTTATCAGCAGGAGATGGCCCTGTGCTGCAAGGGGAATGACAGAGTCTGAGTCATTTGTTGAGTTTATGCCCCTCTGACTGCTGTGTTTCATGTCCTCTGCTCTGGAAAGACCTCTGAAAGCTGGGCAGCCACAGTGTGCCCACTAGTCCTCCATACTACAAAAAACGGGTCGGGTTCTACCTGGGTTAAGACCAATTTGGGTTATTGCTGATATGCAGAATTAATTTCAATCTTTGTGTGAAGTATTTCCTGCTCAGCGTATACCCCAGGAAAGCCATTTAACAACATTAAGACCATCTAACATCAAAGCTGTTAAAGCCATGGTAAAATTAAAATGACGATGATAATAAACCACACTCAATCATATGTTTATTGAACTGTCGCATGAGAATCACTTGAAGCTGTGGGTTTCACATAGATGACAGGTGTCAAATCATCAGTTAGGCTATAAACAGATAAACAGACTGCACATCATTCATATCAGAAGTGAATGACAGACTGAAATCAAAACGGGCTAATTAGCAAACTAATTAGTTACCTGAGATTTGGCACTGGCTGCTTCGTTCTGCTGATCCGCTGACTGTCTCTTCCTCTATGGACATGCCTCAGTTCTCACTTCCAAATATAAGGGTTGGGGGAAAATTGCATTGCAAAGGGAAAAAGTAAAAAAAAAAAAAAAAGAGGTTGTATGTTTTGTTTACTGTATTTTACTTTCATTCCCCATGCTGCATTCACATGTGCATACATTGCAAGTCTTAACTTTAGTACTTCAGATATATTTGCAACATTTTTGTTATGTAGCCTCCAAGTCAACACCAATCTTACATTTTTAAAGACAATATTGCTCCTACTCCTACACGTGTGAGTGACTGAAGTTTAGTTTTGCATACTTTTGACTACTTAAGTTTATGTTTAGTCTGAAAATGTACACGATATTGATCACTCAAAAATATCTCTGAATAGGTCATTTCTGTGGGGTAGTTCACATGGGTGGAAAAAAATCGAAATTAATATTTTTCTAATAACGGAATCCTTTTTGGCATTGGATTGGTGATTATTTTCCCTATGTGGATCAGCAACAGGTGGTTTCCCTATTTTTTTCTCCACCGCCTTATAGGGCCAACAGCATGAGTTTGTGTGGAAAAAATGATTTGTGCAGCGGGTTCTATCAAGGCACCTGTTCCTCATCACAGAAAGAAAATAAGAAAGAAGTGGGAGAAGTAAGAGAGGTGAAGGACCCATGTGGTGCTCATTGAGCAACAAGGACAGGTGACTCGGATGTGTCTTCTACTGCTGTTGCATTAAGCAAAAGACTTAAGCTAATGTCTCTCTGCCTTTCTCTCTCCCCCCGACTCCTTTCTATCCTCCTCCAGGTTCAGGGACGATAAGGGCTACGTTCTGTACCCTCAGATCGGGGACCGGCTGGACCTCATCTGCCCTCCGCTGGACACCGCCAGGTCCACCCCAGAGTACGAGTTCTACAAGCTCTACCTTGTGTCGTCGCGGGAACAGGCGGACCGCTGCGAGGTGACCGGCCCCCCCAACATTGTGCTGACCTGCGACGAGCCCACCCGCGAACGGCGCTTCACCATCAAGTTCCAGGAGTTCTCGCCGAACCTCTGGGGCCACGAGTTCAAGACCATGCGCGACTACTACATCATCGGTGAGTCGAGGAAGCAGAGCCAACACTGGAGATTAGGGGATGGTGTGTGTGTGTGTGTGTGTGTGTGTGTGTGTGTGTGTGTGTGTGTGTGTTTATGGGCGTGTCTTGAGCTTTATTGTAGTATGTGTGTGTGTGTGGGGGGGGGGGTTGTTATGATTGCATGGCTGATTTCTGATTGTGCCTGAGTGTGTTTGTTTATTTCCGTGATGATGGTGATGATTGGGCGGGTGTGTTTAGAGTAATTAGGTTTGAGAATTGTGTGTGTGATCCGGCCTGCGGGTGGATACAGTGCACTGCAAAAAATGACCTGATGAGCCTGTAGTTTTCAGGATATTTCAGGGTATTTTTTCTAAATTCGAACCTTGCTCTAACTGTAGGTTATTTAACTAACTTCAATTAATTTCAGTTGTTTCACCTTTGTGGGATTAAACACACTTCAGGTGATGTCTCTTTTTTAAGCAAAAATGACTTCCCATCCTTTTCATTTTTTGCAGTATGTCCCTGGATTTGTCCTACTTTGCCACGTGTGTGGGCTTTTTGTTTAATGAAGTTTGGATACATTTTCGCTCCAGTGTTGTTTCTAAGATTGTGTGCGTGTGTGTCATTGCTATGTCTTTGTCCTGCTCGGCTGCTGTGCTGGCCTTGGGCCTGTTTATTGTTATTGCGAGCCTTTGCAGTTACCGCAAAAGGCTAAGCACCGTTTGTTTTGGTTTGTTCAGAAGATTTGTTTGGAGTCAGGCTGCATGAAGACCTGATGAGGTCATCATGGCGAGCCAGGCCAAGTGTCTGTATCGGACGGAACAATCTGCAAGCAGAGGTCGCGTCAACCCGAAACCTGTGGGTTGTTTTTAACTACAGACCGACAGCCAAGAGCGTTCAACTCTCACAATTGGAGCCATGCACGCAACGCAGACAGACCATACACACTCATGTGCTTGTATACACACACTCTCGCATGCACACAAGTTTGCAATACAAACACAAGAACTGCAAAAAAAACACCTCAGGAGTGAGAGAGTGAGCAGCATAGACAAAGAGAGAGAGAGAGACCCTGTTAGATTCCCATAGCTCTCCGCCCACGCACCTGCAAGCTCTATTCACTCAGGTGTGCAAATGCTCTTTTCACTTCTTTTCATCTGTGGGTAGAAAAAAAATGATGGAACGAGTAGAGCCGGGAGGAGGAGGAAGCTGGGACATAGAAAGAGAGACAGACAGATAGAGATACTGAGAGAAACAAAGAGAATATAAGAGCTCTGAAAGTCTGCGATGTCCCACATGTCTCTTTCTGTTCTGTATTTGTTCGCCGGTTTCGGGTACACTCGGTTTACGCTATCAGTCCTCATACCCGGTGTTTGTGAAGAGAGGTGAGGCACTGGGCATATTTCTCCTGCACCCTGTATCATTATCAACATACAAACATTTCTCTCAGATTAGATATGAGGAGGTGAGATAACATGCAGTGGTGCAGTAAGACACCATGTACGTATGTGTGTGTTTCGGTGTGCTCTATGTGCGCCCAGCGACCCAATAATACAGGGATTTTGGCCTGATAAGTAGGGAGGAAAATTAATGCAATGTGATACCTGCTGATACCTGATTCAGTGACTGACAGATGTTGAACAGCAGAACTTCCACATCAAGGTGGCTGCGAGAAAGCGAAACAGGATACATAAGACTAACGCAATAATGTTAATTGTGTTTTTGTAGATTTTTATATCAGTGATTTGAAATTATCCCAGTATGATAATAAGTGCTGTATGGTGTACTAAAGTGAAAATTTATTCTATTATCCACTATGCAGTCTGTGTGCAAACTTTCACAAAACTCCCTTTTATTAAGTTGCCTCTGTGTTCCACTGTCCATAGGTGTATTCCTTACAGATGGACTTGACTTGAGGTCATAAATATTTGAGGATGATTTTGGTGTTGTCCATATTCAGAATTCACACAACCCAAAAATCTGGAGCGCAAAACATGTGAGTGTTTGCCAGAGGTGGAAATCACTCATGCTACTGTAATTGAGTAGATTTTTGTGTACTTGTACTTTTTAAAATCTGTTTTTACTTGAGTAAGTTTTGTTTGAAATATTGTTCTTAAATTTTAAATCACATCCGTTACTGAGTAAAAAAATAAAAAATTGAAAAACTTTTAACCACTTTGGCTTCAAGTGCAAGAAAGGCAGCAGCTTTATTCTGCAGTGTAAGCTGTGTTTGCCCAGAGAGACCGAACTGGCAGCTTAAAAAAACTCAACATCAAACCTGTGCAAGCATGTAGAGGTGAGTTAAATAATAATATACCATTCCATTGGTAGTTAAAAAAAAGTTTTCTTAGTTTGGTAAGATGCTTTGCTCAAATTAGCCAAAAAGACACAGTTTCATTACGAAGCAAAAACATTCCAAAAACTTCTCATAATAACATAAAAGGTCTCTAACGTTGTTTTGCGCCGTTGCTTCGGCAAAGATTCTGTCAAAGGAACGAAAATCAAAAGCGCGAAATGGCTTTGTGCCCTTATCAAATCAAAAAAGACTGCGATTTAATTAAATGTAGTATATGTTGTATAGTTCTTTTAGGAGGTTAAAAAAGTACTAAGTAACTGTTACTCTTCAGTACATTTTGAATGAGCTACTTTTTACTTTTACTTGATTAGATTTTTATACTGGTAATTTTAATTACACTTAAGTAAACGTTCATCAAAGTAATAGTACTTTACTAAGTAGAATATTTTTGTACTCTTTCCACCTCTGGTGTTTTCCTTGAAGTGCATACATCTGCTAATGGGCATTATTATTTAGAAATGCATTATAACACAAAAGGTTTGAAGCTTATCCAGAGATTATGTGTCAAGCCAACAGATAATCAGCAACATACCGGTTATGCACTTGCAGTTATCACCACCAGATCTGTTCTTTTTTTGGCAAGATATTCAAAGTGACCACGTATAAATATCCTGTTTTGTGTGATTGCACATACTGGTTGGAGGACTTCCATCAATAAACAACATCGACCTTAAACCTGAAGTGCGTTCCATTGCTGCAAAGTAAAAACCACCATAAAACCCAAATGTGGCCCGCAGTCTCTGCTTTGCCCACCTCTCTTCTGTACTCCCACCTGGCAACTGGAGTGTCCAGAGATAGAAACACCTTTATCTCCACACACAGACCAGACTGATCGATTGACAGCTCCAGCCCAATCAATGACGGCTGCAACACAAGGTCACACAAACTCAGACACACACACACACACACACACACACACACACGTACTTTCACATTTGAAGAGAGACAGTGAGTTGGAGAGGTGAAGAGACAGGGGAGTAGCTGATTGTAGAGAGCATTTGGTACTGATAACTTATTGATAACGTCACCAGATAACTTGTGTGTTGTGTGCAGTGCTTCTCTGATCATGTGCTCTTAATGAATACTCTCACCGAAACTTCTGTGTACTTAATGAGGCTGTGAGATAATTAATAACTGTTAATCCAACTGCTCATTTAGAGCCATATATCTGCTGTAGTTGTATGTATGCTGAACTCACTACGGGCTGGTTTGTCCCTGAATTTAGTTACAGTAAATGTATGTTTGTGCATGTGTGTAGGGGCACCAATGTATGCGCAAGCCTCAGGGAAATCTTGTTTTAATTAACCTATGGCATAGCGTGATTTAATTTGCACACCGCAACCAGGCAGGCACACACAGAAAGTGTGTGTGTGGTGGTGTGGATGTGCAGTCGGATGGTGAACAGCGGGAGGGGAAAAGGAGGTGGAGGTTAATTTCAAAGTTAAACCCATTACAGATTACCAGTAACTTGCTTAAGGTCCACTAGGTAATCAGTTTGCTTTGCATTTTGCCACTATGATTCACGGTGAATGAAACTCTTTAGGTTTTCATTTCCACATCATAATTTGCATCATCAACAAGTGGTATCATTGATCATTTGTGAAAATCATGTTTGTGTCTTGAGAAAATCTTGCCAGCAATCTGAGAAAATCCAGTTTCCTTTGTTTTTGCGGCCGCTAATGCAGCGCAGATGCTACAGTTTTGTAATCAGATTACATGAATTTCCATTAAATGTAATTCTTTACTTCCGCATCCTGTGGAGAGGAGAGAAAGTGTGAGAAAATTGATTCGTTATACTCATTGATTGATGTTTTCATTCATAACATGAGGTCAGGGTTTATGTAAACCCATTTCTCAGTCACACACCCTCACTCTCTCTCGATCCACTCCCTCCCTCCGCCCTTTTGTTTCTCCTCTCTCCTCCTTTTCTTTCGCCATTCAAATCCCGGCACACACACACACACACACACACACACACACACACACACACACACACACACACACACACACACACACACAGACATGCTCAGTACATCAACCCAAACTGCAGATCAAGCCTTTCACTGCTTTTAATGAATCCTTTGAAAGCAGGCGCCAGGGTCTTGTGTAACACACTCCTTGCATGCATGCACAAGCGTGCACAAACACACACGCACATGCTCACACATATTCACAAATGGGCTGTGGTCTTGATGATGTGTCCTCTTAATGAGAACTGCAGGAGGGAAACCATCTCTATGCAGCTAATCTGGTTTGCAACTTAAAGGACACATGAGGAGAATAGAAGAGTTGGTGTTAGAACTGGTACAGGGTCAGCTAATTTTAGTGTATTCACCCACTATTCCAAAAAACCTTTTTTTTCTTCTCACTGTCATGCCATGCAGATAGTTTCAGTTACGTTAGCTCAGGTTTTGAGATATATCCCTTATTTGCTGATAGTAAAAACAAAACAAAACAGCAACATCTCCAGAAGCAACGTCCTTGTTGCTCTGAATAATCCACAGACCTCAATGTGGACAGGATTTGTCTGAATAAATTGTCCCTGTAAAACCTCATGACGTGTGTGCTGGATTATCCAGTTGTTTTTGTAATTTTGGTGAACACATCTTTAAACATGCAGCTTTTCAGAGATTTATTTTAAGTCACAAGGGGCAGTTGTTTTGAC